TTTATCAAGAGATATTTGTTTGCTAGTTATTTGCATTCAGCTCAATTGCAAAGTCTCCCATCAACTAATGTTAAAATGATCATAGAAGATAGTCCTATTTGGTAAAAGACCAAGTCGATATTATGGCAAGAACAGCTCAAATAAGCAAATACAAACGACAGTCCATTACTTTAAGACATGAAGGTCAGTACATACGGAACAAGTGCAGTCGCAAAAACCATCTCTCACTGTTCAAATAAACCTACCATTCAAATTATAGACTGATCATTTCTTTGTCAGTGGGCAAACTTACAAAATCAGCAGGGGATCAAATACTTTTTTCCCTCACTGTGTGTATATATATATATATATATATATATATATATATATATATATATATATATATATACACTGCTCAAAAAAATAAAGGGAACACTTAAACAACACATACTAGATCTGAATGAATGAAATAATCTTATTAAATACTTTTTTCTTTACATAGTTGAATGTGCTGACAACAAAATCACACAACAATTATCAATGGAAATCAAATTGATCAACCCATGGAGGTCTGGATTTGGAGTCACCCTCAAAATTAAAGTGGAAAACCACACTACAGGCTGATCCAACTTTGATGTAATGTCCTTAAAACAAGTCAAAATGAGGCTCAGTAGTGTGTGTGGCCTCCACATGCCTGTATGACCTCCTTACAATGCCTGGGCATGCTCCTGATGAGGTGGCGGATGGTCTCCTGAGGGATCTCCTTCCAGACCTGGACTAAAGCATCCACCAACTCCTGGACAGTCTGTGGTGCAACGTGGCGTTGGTGGATGGAGCGAGACATGATGTCCCATATGTGCTCAATTGGATTCAGGTCTGGGGAACGGGCGGGCCAGTCCATAGAATCAATGCCTTCCTCTTGCAGGAACTGCTGACACACTCCAGCCACATGAGGTCTAGCATTGTCGTACATTAGGAGGAACCCAGGGCCAACCGCACCAGCATATGGTCTCACAAGGGGTCTGAGGATCTCATCTCGGTACCTAATGGCAGTCAGGCTACCTCTGGCGAGCACATGGAGGGCTGTGCGGCCCCCCAAAGAAATGCCACCCCACACCATGACTGACCCACCGCCAAACCGGTCATGCTGGAGGATGTTGCAGGCAGCAGAACGTTCTCCACGGCGTCTCCAGACTCTGTCACGTCTGTCACATGTGCTCAGTGTGAACCTGCTTTCATCTGTGAAGAGCACAGGGCGCCAGTGGCGAATTTGCCAATCTTGGTGTTCTCTGGCAAATGCCAAACGTCCTGCACAGTGTTGGGCTGTAAGCACAACCCCCACCTGTGGACGTCGGGCCCTCATACCACCCTCATGGAGTCTGTTTCTGACCGTTTGAGCAGACACATGCACATTTGTGGCCTGCTGGAGGTCATTTTGCAGGGTTCTGGCAGTGCTCCTCCTGCTCCTCCTTGCACAAAGGCAGAGGTAGCGGTCCTGCTGCTGGGTTGTTGCCCTCCTACGGCCTCCTCCACGTCTCCTGATATACTGGCCTGTCTCCTGGTAGCGCCTCCATGCTCTGGACACTACGCTGACAGACACAGCAAACCTTCTTGCCACAGCTCGCATTGATGTGCCATCCTGGATGAGCTGCACTACCTGAGCCACTTGTGTGGGTTGTAGACTCCGTCTCATGCTACCACTAGAGTGAAAGCACCGCCAGCATTCAAAAGTGACCAAAACATCAGCCAGGAAGCATAGGAACTGAGAAGTGGTCTGTGGTCACCACCTGCAGAACCACTTCTTTATTGGGGGTGTCTTGCTAATTGCCTATAATTTCCACCTGTTGTCTATTCCACTTGCACAACAGCATGTGAAATGTACTGTCAATCAGTGTTGCTTCCTAAGTGGACAGTTTGATTTCACAGAAGTGTGATTGACTTGGAGTTACATTGTGTTGTTTAAGTGTTCCCTTAATTTTTTTGAGCAGTGTATATATACACACACACACACACATACATATACAGTTGAAGTCGGAAGTATACATACATCTTAGCCAAATACATTTAAACTCAGTTTTTCACAATTCCTGACATTTAATCCTAGTCAACATTCCCTGTCTTAGGTCAGTTAGGATCACCACTTTATTTTAAGAATGAGAAATGTCAGAATAATAGTAGAGAGAATGATTTATTTCAGCTTTTATTTCTTTCATCACATTCCCAGTGGGTCATGCTAACCTTATCTAGCTATCTAATGTTATCTGTTGTTGTTGTTTTTTTTTTTTTAGCTACACTGTATTGAAAAGATTAGCCAGCTGGCTCTATGGCTGGTTCTGGAGCTAGAGATAGATAAGTGTGTGAACAACAGGCCATAGAGATAGAGGACTCATCTTTGTATCTGTGCCATTATAGCGTCTGTTACAGCATGGGCAGCGCCATTAAGGCTTTCTCCATTTTAAAATAGTCAATTTTATTTTTCTTTATTGGCTGATTGCTCCCAATTCATAGAAATCCCCACCCAGTTGACTACTTTAAAATGGTGGAAGCCCTCAATGGCAAGATCCATTCTAAAACGGGTTATATCCATGATGAGTCCTCTATCGCTATGACAACAGGAACAACTCAGATACAAAATTGCTTTTTTCAAAGTTGCCAAAATGCCATGTGAGATCACACTTACAGTGAGCTCCAAAAGTATTGGGCCAGTGACATTTTTGTTTTTTGTTTTGGCTTTGTATTCCAGCACTTTGGATTTGAAATGATACAATGACTATGAGGTTAAAGTTCAGACGGTCAGCTTTCATTTCAGGGTATTTTCCATCCATATCGGGTGAACCTTTTAGAAATTACAGCACTTTTTGTACAGGCTCCCCCATTTTATGGGACCAAATTCACTTATGTGTATTAGAGTTGGAAAAAGTTAAGTATTATTCCCATATTCATACCACACAATGACTATATCAAGCTTGTGACTCTACAAATGTGTTGGTTGCATTTGCGGTTTGTTTTGGTTGTGTTTCAGATTATTTTGTGCCCAAAGAAATGAATGGTAAATAATGTGTTGTGTCATTCTGGAGTCACTTTTATTGTAAATGAGAATAGAATATGTTTCTAAACACTTCTACATTAATGTGGATGCTACCATGATTACAGATAATCCTGAATGATGAGTGAATAATGATGAGTGAGAAAGTTAAACGCACAAATATCACACACCCCAAAAAATGCAAACCTCCTCTGTTATTGTAATGGTGAGAGATTATCATGTCTTGAGGTTATGATATTTGTGCGTTATAAACAATACCATGCTGGGAGGTGGTAACATTCAAATAAAACCAGCCCTGAAACGAAACGTAGGTTGAAAATAATTTGTACGGCATTTCATAGGAAAAGACACCACATTCACACGGATTTGCATGAAGTGGGCAGTTCGGATGTCACTTCAAGTCCAAATATATCATACTTTGACTAATACATTGACTTATTGACTTAAATCGTTGTGCAACATCATGGGTAAGCTCTGGCAATCGTCTTTCAGCTCTAAAAAGTGGATATCTACTGGTGTGGGTTTTTAAGTAGGAGGGGAGATGTGGTGTATTGGGGTTGTGCCGCAGAGCATTATGGGGGTTGTATGTGTTGAGATGAGCACGTTCAGATAAATGGTTGAACTAATTCCTGTATCCCATCTCATCATTATTGCATTGTTATAAAGACATGGTTATGAAACCCACGAGACATAAAGGCACAAGCCATTTAATTGCAATGTTGTGATTGACATCATCACTACACCTACATCATAGAATGAATGTCCTGTAACCTGATGTTATAAAGTGACTTAACCAAGTGGCCAACCTGTTACTGTTATCAATGCAATGTGTGTTTTCATAAAAGTTATCAAGTTTTAGGAAATATAATGAAAACCGAAACAAGTGGTTCTCAATGTACCTTATTCTTTTAGGTTTTAAAAATAATTGTCCCCAAATTCAAATTAAAAGGAGAAGTGTACATATCAAATAAGAAGCTAATATTTTACCAATAACGAAAAGTCAGCTCTGAAGAACATTGTCCTAAAAACCCAACCTTTATGCACATGACTTGATGAACTAACTAAACAAATTATCACGGTTTGAGATATAAAATATTTATTCAGTCATTATAATTATTCAGTCATTATAATTACATTGATAGGTGCAAAGTAATTTGGATGACCAATTCAGCATTTTCACTATGAAAAGATGGAGCTCAGCCAAACATTTAAGAGAGTTTTGTTCATGATTCTGAAAATCCACCCAGAAGCAGGGCCACCACCAGCCTGGATACAACCACCATGAATGAGTCAAATCCAAGTACAGTCAGTAGCTACTGTATGTTCCTTGAAATATCCTTGGTGACAGCATGTTTGAGAAAACATTTATTAGCCTACTGATTAAAACGCAAATGTTTTGGATTCCTCTTACAGACATTGGTTGAACCCAGACTAAACAATGTATGCCACATCAATTCATAGCCTTCTTTGGTTCCTAAATGTATACACAATGTGCAAATTATTATTTGACGAATAGCAAACCTCGATTGAAGCTTAACATGGCATGCCTGGTAGTAACAGTATCCAGGCATAATACAATATATAATTTTACAGTCTAGATTATAAAGTAGGTGTTTCGAGCCCTGAATGCTGATTGGCTGACAGCCGTGGTATACCATAGGTATGACAATACAATTATTTTTACTGCTCTAATAACGTTGGTAACCAGTTTATAATAGCAATAAGGCACCTCTGGGGTTTGTTGTATATGGCCAATATACCACAGCTAAGGGCTGTATCCAGGCACTCCATGTTGCTTCGTGCAAAAGAACAGCCCTTAGCTGTGGTATATTGGCCATATACCACACCCCCTCGTGCCTTATTGCTTGAAATGCACCATCTTTAAAGGCTGGAATGTCTTGGGCTGGTTTTCATGGCATCTTGGAGACACTAATATGGTCATGTGCAGTTTGAGGCAGTGTTCAACGAGACAGCTCTACTTGGGAAAGACGGTGACCACATCATAGCCTTCGGGTGGAGACACTCGCTCACGTGCGTGCTTCTCGCAGTAGATCTGGTCCTCCACGAAAAAATGTCCCTTCTGTTTCAGGTTGATGTCGCAATCTGAGCAGGTGTAGCACTCGGGGTGACGGAACTTGTCCCGCAACTTGACAACCATCCCCCTGTGTATGGGAAAGAAGAGATCACATAGTAAAATGGTTAGGTCAAATAAATAAATAAATTTTTTAATGTAAAACTTCTTATGAAAATCCTCTTCATAATGCATTATTTGCGCAGTTACAATGCTTCATGAGCATGCACTATAAATGTACAGTGGGGAAAAAAAGTATTTAGTCAGCCACCAATTGTGCAAGTTCTCCCACTTCAAAAGATGAGAGAGGCCTTTAATTTTCATAATAGGTACACGTCAACTATGACAGACAAATTGAGATTTTTTTTCTCCAGAAAATCACATTGTAGGATTTTTAATGAATTTATTTGCAAATTATGGTGGAAAATAAGTATTTGGTCACCTACAAACAAGCAAGATTTCTGGCTCTCACAGACCTGTAACTTCTTCTTTAAGAGGCTCCTCTGTCCTCCACTCGTTACCTGTATTAATGGCACCTGTTTGAACATGTTATCAGTATAAAAGACACCTGTCCACAACCTCAAACAGTCACACTCCAAACTCCACTATGGCCAAGACCAAAGAGCTGTCAAAGGACAACAGAAACAAAATGGTAGACCTGCACCAGGCTGGGAAGACTGAATCAGCTTGGTTTGAAGAAATCAACTGTGGGAGCAATTATTAGGAAATGGAAGACATACAAGACCACTGATAATCTCCCTCGATCTGGGGCTCCACGCAAGACCTCACCCTGTGGGGTCAAAATGATCACAAGAACGGTGAGCAAAAATCCCAGAACCACACGGGGGGACCTAGTGAATGACCTGCAGAGAGCTGGGACCAAAGTAACAAAGCCTACCATCAGTAACACACTACGCCGCCAGGGACTCAAATCCTGCAGTGCCAGACGTGTCCCCCTGCTTAAGCCAGTACATGTCCAGGCCTGTCTGAAGTTTGCTAGAGTGCATTTGGATGATCCAGAAGAGGATTGGGAGAATGTCATATGGTCAGATGAAACCAAAATATAACTTTTTGGTAAAAACTCAACTCGTCGTGTTTGGAGGACAAAGAATGTTGAGTTGCATCCAAAGAACACCATACCTACTGTGAAGCATGGGGGTGGAAACATCACGCTTTGGGGCTGTTTTTCTGCAAAGGGACCAGGACGACTGATCCGTGTAAAGGAAAGAATGAATGGGGCCATGTATCGTGAGATTGAGTGAAAACCTCCTTCCATCAGCAAGGGCATTGAAGATGAAACGTGGCTGGGTCTTTCAGCATGACAATGATCCCAAACACACCGCCCGGGCAACGAAGGAGTGGCTTCGTAAGAAGCATTTCAAGGTCCTGGAGTGGCCTAGCCAGTCTCCAGATCTCAACCCCATAGAAAATCTTTGGAGGGAGTTGAAAGTCCGTGTTGTCCAGCGACAGCCCCAAAACATCACTGCTCTAGAGGAGATCTGCATGGAGGAATGGGCCAAAATACCAGCAACAGTGTGTGAAAACCTTGTGAAGACTTACAGAAAACGTTTGACCTGTGTCATTGCCAACAAAGGGTATATAACAAAGTATTGAGAAACTTTTGTTATTGACCAAATACTTATTTTCCACCATAATTTGCAAATAAATTCATAAAAAATCCTACAATGTGATTTTCTGGATTTTTCCTAAATATCTAACAACATTCATGAAGCATTATGAGCAGGCAGCATAAAACCATGTAACAAAGTCTTATAATTAAGCAATAAGGCACGAGGGGGTGTGGTATATGGCCAATATACCACGGCTATGGGCTGTTCTTAAGCACGACGCAACGCGGAGTGCCTGGATACAGCCCTTAGCCGTGGTATATTGGCCATATACCACAAACCCCTGAGGTGCCTTATTGCTATTATAAACTGGTTACCAACATAATTTGAGCAGTAAAAATAAATGTTTTGTGTTACCCTTGATATACCACGGCTGTCAGCCAATCAGCATTCAGGGCTCGAACTACCCAGTTTTTAATGCCCAATATGAAATGCTCATTGGGAAATTGGGTCATGAGGGGTTCCACAATCATGTTTGGTGCGCAAGACAGAGTTACATGCGTGAGAGGGTGCACAGGGGAATTGGAATATACCCCTTGATGAGCACATCATTCCTAATGAGCTTTCCACATAGGGCATAATAACTCTTCATAAGCCATTTTACAGCCTTGGTCATAATGCTCAATAAATGTAGTCATAGATGTTTATAAGCAGTTAAAGCCTATGCAGTGCATTAGCATGGCTAATAAAGAGGTATACATTATGAAGAGGGTATGAAGTGTTATATCTAAACGTAAGACACACAAATGGTCTAAAATACATTCTAAAAACAGAGACAACCATTTCTGCCTTTGTAGGAGTGTTCATAGAAGCATAAGTCCTTTTTTTTGTGCTCAAAATAGTAAGACAAATTGAAACTGAGATGCAGTTTTTCCCTACCACACACAGTGACTAACACCGTTTCACCTTCTTGGATCATGACAGACAAAACACCTAATATTGTCACCCAATCCACCATGAAGGTCACACAGAAGGCATGTCCAAGCACCCTTAGAGCATCTCTTAAGTTTGAACAATTCTTAACCAAGAGTTAACAACCCCTTGAGTACACAGCTGTTGGCAGCATGCTCACAGCTTGGCTCTATATCAGCCAATTGAATTGCCATGTGACAAAACACTTCTGCTGTGACATTCTAGAAGAAACCACAAGGATGAGACAATTACCAGTATGAAAAAAGTTAAACGATAAGACTAAGATATTTTATCTTAGGGGGCTGTCATACCGAATTGTTTTGGAGCGTTATTTCCAAACTCTGGTGCTTTAACCCCTTAGTTCGGTTCGTTTTGACTGGTGTGAACACCATCTGCACTCGGGAGCGCACCGTGGGTCGTTCAAAAAGGGTGGTCTCGGTCCGATTAAATTCGTACCGTGGTGCGGTTCACTGCAGGTGAGAACGCAGTCCGGACCAAACACAGGAAAATAACCAGATTCGCGCAGTATTATTGTTTGTTTGACTGCGAGCATTTGATGAAATGCACACAGCATCATAACTTGATATCTCTGAAACGTGTGAGTATAGCAGCGCATTTATGAGCGCATCTGATGCAGATTAGGGGAGATGGGGCGATACTGAATATAGCCTATTCACGTCGCAGTTACAGCGGCTATTGCACGTTTCCTCATGCATGTTGTTGGAAGACCAGAGCGAAAGTAATATGAAGATTGGTGCTTCATGATAATGCGTGATGCTTCATGATAATCATAGATGTTTTTAATATATGAGCATCCAATAAACAAATGACTTGCATGGACATGTTTTGTTCAGGAATTTTTGTTCGTTTGACATTTGGCAATGTGAAACCAACCAGACCAAATGAAACAAAATACAATGTAACAGATAATCGAACTCTGATTCGAACTATAGCTCAGAACTGTGTGTGAAAACACCCTTAGTGTAGCAACTGAGGCTGCGTTTAAACAGCCAATTCAGATAATTATTTTTTGTATATCCAATATTTTATTCTGATTGCCCACACTCAGTTTTATGTGACCCATATCAGATTGGCGCGGTCACACTGATGCAGCCTCTGACTTAGTACACAGATGCTCATTTCCTGTCACTGTTACGTTTAATTTTGTCAGAGGCTGCGGGCCCGCATCTGCCCCAGAGCTAAACAACTGTATCACCTTCTGCACGTGTTACTTTAACTATCAGCCAATTTTAAAATCGACATGATGACGTATGTCTCGCTCTCATATTTCTGAACAGCTGATTTGACGATTTGAACGAACTTAACAAAAAAAATATGTATTTTGTAGGCTAATTTAGACAACATGATCGACTTGTAGCTTCAACCTTCTGTCTGTTGTAACTACGAAATTGGAGCAGCACAAACATAAACAGGACAGTCTACACATTGCATTGGGGCAAAACAATCTGAATTTTACCATTAATAACATACAACTGATATTTCGCTTCTCAATGATCATGCAACACCGTATCATTTGATGACAGCACATTGACATTTGCTAGAGTAGCCAGTCTGTGCCTGTTATGTTTGATATGCTGTCTAGATAGCTGCATGTAACTCCCCACCTGAAAAAAATGACATAAAATCACTACTTAGACTGCCTGTCTGTGTCCTGCTTATGTGTCTATGTCCTGCTTATCAACTCCAATTCTGCTGGGGGCACGGAATATTCTCGTCCTAGTCCATTGATACTACAGTTTATTAAATAGCATAGGCTACATTTACATAACATTTTAGTCATTTAGCAGACGCTCTTATCCAGAGCGACTTACAGTTAGTGAGTGCATACATTATATATATATATATTTTTTTTTTTCATACTGCCCCCCCCCCCCCCCCGTGGGAATCGAACCCACAACCCTGGCGTTGCAAACGCCATGCTCTACCAACATCCCCTGCCGGCCATTCCCTCCCCTACCCTGGACAAGCTGGGCCAATTGTGCGCCGCCCCACAGGCTAAAGTAAAAAATAAAAAAAATCCAGTGTTTGCTCTATGTTTAGAGTGTTGACAGTCAACATTGTAATTGGCTTGAACCAGCTTTCGTTAAAGTAGGGTAAGGGTAGCCTACTATAAAGAGCTTATTTTTTAATCAAACGAAAAACAAGCAATTGTTACAGGAAAATAACTGAAATGTTTCTAAATACGAGTGTCAACAGGGATGTCCTCTCACTGTTTTGCTGCTGCTTCCAAAACAAATCTTTTAATAAAGCTTTGGTGATTAAGATTTATTTCAAAGCAGTCTCACGAGCCAAACCCATTATAGATCGTCTTGACTATTTGGCGAATGCAGAAGAGGGGAGGCTATGCTTGTTTTTTAATCTAATGAAATGGGGACAAAACAGCTTTTATGTTTCTAAATACGAGGTTTACGGGCACTAAATCTCTCTTGTTCCATGTGCATATGGGCACTATGCATCACGGCTGGGTATGCTGCGCTTCCGCTGTCGAAATCCATGCAATAACCAATTGCGATACTGCTAAAACCAGCTTTCAGTTGGTCTTAAATATCCCCACTAGTGCATACTAAAATTGGCATTTTGGCGCACATTTTTAAGGACACACCTCGGATATTCCCACCACAGCACAAGCGAGCTCATATAAAACAGGTAAATTACCAATCCCGGCGCTAGGGTTTGAAAATAGAGCGCCGGCTTTAACAGGTCGAAATTGCAAAGAAGCCTGCGTTTGACAATTGGCTGGTTTAACGCCTGCTGAAAATAGAGCCCAGGGTCATAAAGCATTTTAGAGTAGGAGTGCTGATCTTTGATCTCCTCGTCAAATCACTGTGAGCAAAATGAAAAGTTTACAACATTATCATCAGATCACGATTGTTTGAAGAATCATATGCTGTACTTACACAATCCCTGATCCACATTTGTCACAGATTGGTAACTTGTCTGCATTTCCCACTGTTGAGACGATTTTTGTGGCAGGTGCTTTCACACTCCTAAAACCAGAGGGCTTATCAGGATCTGCAATCAAGAGGAGACACATGTTATCATGGTTTGTTAAGCCACAACACTGCCATAAAATATTTGGAAAACCCTGGAAAATATAAAAAAAGGCGCTTTAAGAAACAGGATTCTCTGGTCTGATGAAACCAAGATTGAACTATTTGGCCTGAATGCAAAGCGTCCCGTCTGGAGGAAACCAGGCACCGCTTATCACCTGGCCAATACTATAGCCCTATGGTGCAGCATGGTGGTGGCAGCATCATACTATGGGGATGTTTTTCAGCAGCTGGGACTGGGAGACTAGTCAGGCTCAAGGGAAAGATGAATGGAGCAAAGTACAGAGAGATCCTTGATGAAAACCTGCTCCAGAGCGCTCAGGACCTCAGACTGGGGCGAAGGTTCACCTTCCAACAGGACAACGACCCTAAGCACACAGCCAAGACAACGTAGGAGTGGCTTCGGGACAAGTCTCTGAATGTCCCTGAGTTGCCCAGCTAGAGCCTGGACTTGAACCAGATCGAACATCTCTGGAGAGACCTGAAAATAGCTGTGCAGCGACTCTCCCCATCCAACCTGACAGAGCTTGAGAGGATCTGCAGAGAAGAATGGGAGAAACTCCCCAAATACAGGTGTAACAAGTTTGTAGCGTCATACCCAAGAAGACTCAAGGCTGTAATCGCTGACAAAGGTGCTTCAACAAAGTACTGAGTAAAGTGTCTGAATATTTATGTAAATGTAATTTCAGTTTTTTAATTCTAAAAACCTGTTTTTGCTTTGTCATTACGGGTATTGTGCAATGATTGATGGGGGGAAAAAACGATTTAATCCATTTTAGAATAAGGCTGTAATGTAACCAAATGTGGAAAAAGTGAAGGGGTCTGAATACTTTCCGAATGCACTGTATACACTGAGTGTACAAAACATTAAGGACACCTTCCTAATATTGAGTTGCACCTCCCCCTTTTTGCCCTCAGAACAGCCTCAATTCGTCGGGGCATGGACTCTACAAGGTGTTGAAAGCGTTCCACAGGGATGCTGGCCCATGTTGACTCCAATGCTTCCCACAGTTGTGTCAAGTTGGCTGGATGTCCTGTGGGTGGTGGACCATTCTTGATACACATGGGAAACTGTTGAGCGTGAAAAATCCACCAGCATTGCAGTTCTTGGTACAAACTGGTGCGCCTGGCACCTACTACCATAGCCCGTTCAAAAGGCACTTAAATCTGTCCTTAATGTTTTGTACACTCAGTGTAAATATCAGCTGCATATATATGTGTGAGTAAGTACCTGACTCCAGAATATCCAGCAGCACTTTGAATGAAGCTGACTGTCGAGGAGGCTCATCAGCCTCTTGGTTCTCTTGCAGCATTTTGTAGACTTCAGAGTCTGCCACTATTGGTGGCAGAATACCGGAGGTATCTGGGCTAAAAAACAAATTATCACAATCAATACTAGTTTACATACAATGAGTCCGATGGTACACAAGGACAAACAAATGATGGTGGTGATGGGGCCTCACACATATTTATGTATCATTGAGCCACAGCTGAAGTTGAGTTTGACTTACTGTAACACATACTGTTAACAAGTGAAAATGCAGTATATTCTGCTACAGTAAGACACATCGGAACTTGAAGAACAATACCCAGTGGGTAAAACCAATAGCTACCTGAAATATCTGTATTGACCCTTTTTGCACTAATCTCTTTTTTGACTCCTCACATACGTTGCTGTTACTTATCTATCCCGTTGCCTAGTCACTTTATACCTACCTACAGTTGAAGTCGGAAGTTCACATACACCTTAGCCAAATACATTTAAACTCAGTTTTTCACAATTCCTGACATTTAATCCTAGTAAAAATTCCCTGTCTTAGGTCAGTTAAAATAAAGTGGTGATCCTAAGAATGTGAAATGTCAGAATAATAGTAGAGAGAATTATTTATTTCAGCTTTTTTTCTTTCATCACATTCCCAGTGGGTCAGAAGTTTACATACACTCAATTAGTATTTGGTAGCATTGCCTTTAAATTGTTTAACTTGGGTCAAATGTTTCAGGTAGCCTTCCACAAGCTTCCCACAATAAGTTGGGTGAATTTTGGCCCATTCTTCCTGACAGAGCTGGTGTAACTGTGTCAGGTTTGTAGGTCTCCTTGCTCGCACACGCTTTTTCAATTCTGCCCATGAATTTTCTATAGGATTGAAATCAGGGCTTTGTGATGGCCACTCCAATACCTTGACTTTGTTGTCCTTAAGCCATTTTGCCACAACTTTGGAAGTATGCTTGGGGGTCATTGTCCATTTGGAAGACCCATTTGCGACCAAGCTTTAACTTCCTGACTGATGTCTTGAGATGTTGCTTCAATATATCCACATAATTTTCCTTCCTCATGATGCCATCTATTTTGTGAAGTGCACTAGTCCCTCCTGCAGCAAAGCACCCCCACAGCATGATGCTGCCACCCCCGTGCTTCACGGTTGGGATGGTGTTCTTCGACTTGCAAGCATCCCCCTTTTTCCTCCAAACATAACGATGGTCATTATGGCCAAACAGTTCTATTTTTGTTTCATCAGACCAGAGGACATTTCTCCAAAAAGTACGATCTTTGTCCCCATGTGCAGTTGCAAACCGTAGTCTGGCTTTTCTATGGCTGTTTTGGAGCAGTGGCTTCTTCCTTGCTGAGCGGCCTTTCAGGTTATGTCGATATAGGACTTGTTTTTACTGTGGATATACAGTGGGGAGAACAAGTATTTGATACACTGCCGATTTTGCAGGTTTTCCTACTTACAAAGCATGTAGAGGTCTGTAATTTTTGGAAAATCACATTGTATGATTTTTAAGTAATTAATTTGCATTTTATTGCATGACATAAGTATTTGATCACCTACCAACCAGTAAGAATTCTGGCTCTCACAGACCTGTTAGTTTTTATTTAAGAAGCCCTCCTGTTCTCCACTCATGACCTGTATTAACTGCACCTGTTTGAACTCGTTACCTGTATAAAAGACACCTGTCCACACACTCAATCAAACAGACTCCAACCTCTCCACAATGGCCAAGACCAGAGAGCTGTGTAAGGACATCAGGGATACAATTGTAGACCTGCACAAGGCTGGGATGGGCTACAGGACAATAGGCAAGCAGCTTGGTGAGAAGGCAACAACTGTTGGCACAATTATTAGAAAATGGAAGAAGTTCAAGATGACGGTCAATCACCCTCGGTCTGGGGCTCCATGCAAGATCTCCCCTCGTGGGGCATCAATGATCATGAGGAAGGTGAGGGATCAGCCCAGAACTACACGGCAGGACTTGGTCAATGACCTGAAGAGAGCTGGGACCACAGTCTCAAAGAAAACCATTAGTAACACACTACGCCGTCATGGATTAAAATCTTGCAGCGCATGCAAGGTCCCCCTGCTCAAGCCAGCGCTTGTCCAGGCCCGTCTGAAGTTTGCCAATGACCATCTGGATGATCCAGAGGAGGAATGGGAGAAGGTCATGTGGTCTGATGAGACAAAAATTGAGCTTTTTGGTCTAAACTCCACTCGCCGTGTTTGGAGGAAGAAGAAGGATGAGTACAACCCCAAGAACACCATCCCAACCGTGAAGCATGGAGGTGGAAACATAATTATTTGGGGATGCTTTTCTGCAAAGGGGACAGGACGACTGCACCGTATTGAGGGGAGGATGGATGGGGACATGTATCGCGAGATCTTAGACAACAACCTCCTTCCCTCAGTAAGAGCATTGAAGATGGGTCGTGGCTGGGACTTCCAGCATGACAATGACCCAAAACACACAGCCAGGGCAACTAAGGAGTGGCTCCGTAAGAAGCATCTCAAGGTCCTGGAGTGGCCTAGCCAGTCTCCAGACCTGAACCCAATAGAAAGTCTTTGGAGGGAGCTGAAAGTCCTTATTGCCCAGCGGCAGCCCCGAAACCTGAAGGATCTGGAGAAGGTCTGTATGGAGGAGTGGGCCAAAATCCCTGCTGCAGTGTGTGCAAACCTGGTCAAGACCTACAGGAAACGTATCTCTGTAATTGCAAACAAAGGTTTCTGTACCAAATATTAAGTTCTGCTTTTCTGATGTATCAAATACTTATGTCATGCAATAAAATGCAAATTAATTACTTAAAAATCATACAATGTGATTTTCTGGATTTTTGTTTTAGATTCTGTCTCTCACAGTTGAAGTGTACCTATGATAAAAATTACAGACCTCTACATGCTTTGTAAGTAGGAAAACCTGCAAAATCGGCAGTGTATCAAATACTTGTTCTCCCCACTGTAGATACTTTTGTACCCGTTTCCTCCAGCATCTTCACAAGGTCCTTTGCTGTTGTTCTGGAATTGATTTGCACTTTTCGCACCAAAGTACGTTAATCTCTAGGAGACAGAACGCGTCTCCTTCCTGAGCAGTATGACGGCTGCGTGGTCCCATGGTGTTTATACTTGCGTACTATTGTTTGTACAGATGAACCTGGTACCTTCAGGCGTTTGGAAATTGCTCCCAAGAATGAACCAGACTTGTGGAGGTCTACCATTTTTTTTCCTGAGGTCTTGGCTGATTTCTTTTGATTTTCCCATGATGTCAAGCAAAGAGGCACTGAGTTTGAAGGTAGGCCTTGAAATACATCCACATGTACACCTCCAATTGACTAAAATGATGTCAATTAGCCTATCAGAAGCTTCTAAAGCCATGACATAATTTTCTGGAAATTTCCAATCTGTTTAAAGGCACAGTCAACTCAGTGTATGTAAACTTCTGACCCACTGGAATTGTGATACAGTGAATTATGATACAGTGAATTATAAGTGAAATAATCTGTCTGTAAACAATTGTTGGAAAAATGACTTGTGTCATGCACAAAGTAGATGTCCTAACCGACTTGCCAAAAATATAGTTTGTTAACAACAAATTTGTGGAGTGGTTGAAAACCGAGTTTTGATGACTCCAACCTAAGTGCATGTAAACTTCCGACTTCAACTGTACATGTACATATCTACCTCAACTACCTCGTACCCCTGCACATTGACTCTGTACTGGTACCCCGTGAATATAGCCAAGTTATCGTTACTCATTGTGTATTTATTCCTTGTGTTATTATTCATAGATTATTTTCTACTATCTCTTTTTTCTCTCTCTCTGCATTGTTGGGAAGAGCCCATACGAAAGCATTTCACTGTTAGTCTACACCAGTTGTTTACAAAGCATGCAACAAATATAATTTGATTTGATTGGAATGACATTATTACAACCAGCTGGGATAGATCCTTACATGGTGCAGGGCTCGTTAGCGGCAGTGGCGATGGTTTTCACGTCATCCACGGTCGCGTTGAAGTCCTTGATATTCTCTGAGGAGTACAGACCGGCAGGGTTGTTGTACTGATTGGTTACCACCTTGGGGCCGAACCCAGCGAATGGCAGGGCGCTCCTGTTGTGGGCGGAACCTATGTGTTTCACCTCCTGCAAGTTGTAGCCAGGGATACACAAAGTAATGAGTACTGGAAATATATTCTAAATATAACTCTAATTTCAATGCCATCTCTCACACACATGCCTTGATAGAAATAGTATGACAGTTACTTGACTAATTTGTGGATATTAGAGGTAAAGAATAGCATAGTCAAAAGGTTATTTAGGTACCCCCTTCATATCATAATAGCGGTAAACAAGGGGCGAGACAAAATATGGTGACATGCAAGCACACCATTACTGTAAACAGGAAGTGAAGATACGACACAGTCAGTGAAAACACAAAATACCTTCAACTCTAGCTCATGGTCCATGCATATTTTCACGAAGACATAACAAAACAAAAAAAAACCAGGCAATTTGGCACACACAAACGCATTTGACATTACATGGACATTGTGATAAATGCATCACATTGCTTATCCAATGAAATTATTTAGAGAAGCGAGTTACCCGAAAGCTTCGTAACACACCAGTGCTTTATATGCCAAATTTAGCTCATTCGCTCACACATCTCAGGGGTGTGTGGCTGGGTTGTCAATTATGAGAGAAATAAAGTGGTACATTAGCTACAAAGCTTTCTGGAAACTCACCCCAGGTAATTTGTTCGATTCATTAACAGTGACAAAAATAACCACGTGAAACAGCATTTAAAATGGCTTGTATGCGTAAAACATATTTTTCTATGTATTCTGTGACCAAAATGCACTGTTTGTGACACATCCCTGAAAGCTGTGGAGGACTGAGAAAGCACACGCTTCCTACATTAATTCACACTTTGCTCTCAATTTTCCATTCAGTAAGCAGGAACTGAGTCTTGCGTCAGAGCGTGGCTGATAAAAACGTCGGTCTCCTAGGAAATAATCAGTTGAGAAGTAAACAATGACTTCATTATTGGCAGTATCAAAACCCTAAGGCATTGTTTGTGTAGTGGGGATGTGAAAGGTTTCCTCTGAGTATGGAGATTTACCAGTTAATACTCGATGAAAGAGCAGGGACATACCCATAAGTCAACTTAATGCCTCATTTCCTAATGATATCTTTGGTCTGAGTGAAGTAGGATGTAAGGCAAACACACCTGCGGCTCAGATGCAAGACTCATCTTGTAAGGGTTGGTCTTTCCTTCCTCAGAAGAGAGCGGTGACCACATTTTAGATTCTGATCTAAAAAGACAGTCAAACACAGTATTCAGACTTGCAATAAATAGAGATATCCAAAATATAATAAAAATGAGTACACAGCAGTCCTCAAACCTGTTGATGGGACTACAACCATTTCTAAAAATAACCTATTTTGAGAAAGCACCACTGCACAACAGAGTTATGCCATGTTATAAAACGGTAAGTTTGTATCCTGGATGCTGATTGGTTGATAGTCGTTAGTTATTCACAATAATTAACTCCCAAATGCCATGATGCCATAATTACATTTCAAGTATCAATGCGCATCCACTGTCACACAGCCCAACCAGGCATTCATGAACTTCATCTCCCCCGGAAAAAAGCGTCTAGACATTATTTCCCCATGCTTCTTGCCTAGCATTTTGTTTGGTACAGTGGGAGTTAATATAAGCCTCACTGTATGCCTTTCCGACATGTGCAACATGTTTCAGGTTTTATTTGCAATCTCCACCGTGCCATGCATATGAACGTGACGAGACTGACAGCTTCTCTGATCCTGGCTAATTCATTTATCGGGATCATTATAATGGAAATGAAGGTTAAAAAAAAGAAAATACACATACTTTGCTGTCATTTCAGCTACTTGATATGTTTGTGTTTGCTTGCTAGCTAGCCAACTAAAGCTAAGGAGAAGTAATGTTAGCCTAGCTATCCTCCATAACTATTTTATTGACAATCAGCTGGTTGTTGCCTATTTATACATTATTTATTAAATCTTTAAATGAAGTTCTTGTCTGTCGTCATCATTGAACTTCTACTAGCTAGCTACATGCCAATGATTTGTTTAGCATAGCAACGTGGAATGAATAGAATGAACGACTGGTGGAGGGATTAAATAAAACACATTTACTCATTAAAATGTCGCTAATCTTTTTATTTTATTATGTTGGCAACCATTTTATAAAAGCAATAGATGGGTTAGCTGACAAGTCACGAAAACGATGTGTGCGCTTCCATGGGGCAGATGTCAGCGTGTTGTTGTGATTCTGGATGGCCAGATTGCTAGCAAGAATGACAAGAAACTGACTTGTGGGGAATCGTCAGTGGCTCGTTTCAGTTTGTTTCATCTTGTTCTTGATACCATGTCTTGTTTTAAGGTGTTTTGACTGATTTCATGTCAATGCTAATATGGAAAAAATATGGCTCATTGTGCAAATATATTTATGTTTTCAATAAACATTGAGACGAAATATAGCTTACATGTTGTCAACAATCTAAGCCAACCCTGTCTGTTTTGCCCCATAGTTGCACACACATCAGTTTTGTTTCTAAACAACCAACACATCTATAAAGGCATGAGAACCCGGGAATTATCGTGTGATAACTCCCTCCTAACGGCTGTTTCACGCTTTCATCTCGGGCCTAACAGCCCTTAGTCGTTTAGTTATCACACGATAATCCCCGGGTTCTCATGCCTTATTGCTTAAACACGTATGTGAAGTTGGTACATCAACATTTAATCTCAGACCTAAACAAATCCAAGATGTATTCCCCCTCCCCATTTAACAATTTGAACCATACAAATCTGTATCCCTTACAAATAACCACATCAGGTATAAGATATTCTGTGCTTTTGCTGAGTTGGACCATGACTCAGTGCTTTTTGAACTCATCCGAGTCTATGGAAAACTGCAACATGTCCATGCAACTCCTTACCTGTCGATAGAGAGGACAATTTCCTCTAAGCAGCCCTTGATCTTGTTCTGTGCCTGCAGGTGAGTCATGTTCTCAGTGGGCTCTCCATCTATGGCCAGGATCTGATCCCCGATACACAGATTGGCCTGGGCAGCCTTACTGCCATGAGTGACCTGAAACAAACAGTACATCATCATCAACATACTTACCCTAATGCCTAACCTTAAAATAATTACAAATTATTGTTGTTTTTTTTAGCCAATTTTGACTTTGCAGCTGACCTATCTAGTGGAAATCACTCAGTTCTGCCTCAAGAACAAGACTCATCCCAATAAACGTCAACCTGCGTGTCATCATAGTGGACTGACTTGTGGCCAGACTTGCTCGCTCAGGTAGAACAAAGTTAAATTTGCGCTTTATTTCAATGCTGACATGAATGTCATTGAGAAAACAGAAAGGTGTCATAACGTATTTTTCTGCAAACATTCTTTCTGAATTCAAAAGTAATCCAATAAATAATCACCTAGTTTTTCCAAAAGTATCTATAATCAGATTACAATATGCAGAGACTTTAATGCAGAGAAACTTAAATCCGTTTTACCTCATTTCTACTAGCATGTTAAATGTGCAACCAGAGGGAAAAAAACTCTAGACCACCTTTACACCATTTACATTTTAGTCATTTAGCAGACGCTCTTATCCAGAGCGACTTACAGTTAGTGAATACATATATTATTATTTTTTATACTTGCCCCCCGTGGGAATCGAAACCCACAACCCTGGCGTTGCAAACGCCATGCTCTATCAACTGAGCTACATCCCTGCCGGCCATTCCCTCCCCCATACCCTGGAGGACGCTGGGCCAATTGTGCGCCGCCCCAATGGGTCTCCCGGTCGCGGCCGGCTGCGACAGAGCCTGGATTCGAACCAGGATCTCTAGTGGCACAGTTTGCACTGTGATGCGGCGCCTTAGACCATTACACCACACACAGAGACGCGTACAAAGCTCTCCCTCGCCCTCCATTTGGCAAATCTGACCATAATTCTATTATCCTGATTCCTGCTTACAAGCAAAAACTAAAGCAGGAAGCACCAGTGACTCGGTCAACAAAAAAAAGTGGTCAGATGAAGCAGATGCTAAGCTACAGGACTGTTTTGCTAGCACAGACTGGAATATGTTCTGGGATTCTTCCGATGGCATTGAGGAGTACACCACATCAGTCACTGGCTTCATCAATAAGTGCATTGATGACATCATCCCACAGTGACTGTACGTACATACCCCAACCAGAAGCCATGGATTACAGGCAACATCCGCACTGAGCTAAAGGGTAGAGCTGCCGCTTTCAAGGAGCGGGACTCTACCCGGAAGCTTATAAGAAATCCCGCTATGCCCTCTGACGAACCATCAAACAGGCAAGCGTCAATACAGGACTAAGATCGAATCGTACTACACCGGCTCCGGCGCTCGTCGGATGTGGCAGGGCTTGCAAACTATTACAGACTACAAAGGGAAGCACAGCCGCGAGCTGCCCAGTGACACGAGCCTACAAGATGAGCTAAATTACTTCTATGCTCGCTTTGAGGCAAGTAACACTGAAACATGCATGAGAGCATCAGCTGTTCCGGACGACTGTGTGATCGCGCTCTCCGTAGCCGATGTGAGTAAGACCTTTAAACATGTCAACATTCACAAGTCTGCAGGGCCAGATGGATTACCAGGACGTGTACTCCGAGCATGCGCTGACCAACTGGCAAGTGTCTTCACTGACATTTTCAACCTCTCCCTGTTTGAGTCTGTAATACCAACATGTTTCAAGCAGACCACCATAGTGTTCTTGGGCACAGGGACTAAGGTAACCTGCCTACATGACTACCGACCCATAGCACCCACATCTGTAGCCATGACATGCTTTGAAAGGCTGGTCATGGCTCACATAAACACCATTATCCCAGAAACCCTAGACCCACTCCAATTTGCAGACCGCCCCAACAGATGATGCAATCTCTATTGCTCTCCACACTGCCCTTTCACACCTGGACAAAAGGAACACTTCTGTGAGAATGCTATTCATTGACTACAGCTCAGCGTTCAACACCATAGTGCCCTCAAAGCTCATCACTAAGCTAAGGACCCTGGGACTAAACACCTCCCTCTGCAACTGGATCCTGGACTTTGACGGGCCGCCCCCAGGTGGTAAGATTAGGTAACAACACATCTGCCACGCTGATCCTCAACACGTGGGCCCCTCAGGGGTGCGTACTCAGTCCCCTCCTGTACGCCCTGTTCACTCATGACTGCATGTCTAGGCACGACTCCAACACCATCATTAAGTTTGCCAATGACACAACAGTGGTAGGCCTGATCACCAACAACGACGAGACAGCCTATAGGGAGGAGGTCAGAGACCTGGCCGTGTGGTGCCAGGACAACAACCTCTCCCTCAATGTGATCAAGACAAAGGAGTGGATTGTGGACTACAGGAAAAAGAACAGGACCGAGCACGCCCCCATTCTCATCGACAGGGCTGTAGTGGAGCAGGTTGAGAGCTTCAAGTTCCTTGGTGTCCACATCACCAACAAACTAACATGGTCCAAACACACCAAGACAGTCATGAAGAGGGCATCACAAAACCTATTGCCCCTAAGGAGACTGAAAAGATTTGGCACGGGTCCTCAGACCCTCAAAAGGTTCTACAGCTGCACCATCGAGCGCATCCTGACTGGCTGCATCACTGATTTGATTTGATCTACAACACTTCAAAGGGTTCATAGTCCTTTTGTACTGAAGCCCTCAATACACCTTGCCAGTGTTTCCTCAATATGTACTTCTGAGACAACGATGTGTGCTAAACTTTGAGGCCAAATATTGACATTTTAGTCATTTAGCAGACAGTGATTTACAGGAACAATTAGGATTAAGTGCTTTGCTCAAGGGCACATTTCTCACCTAGTCTGCTCAGGAATTCGAACCAGCAACCTTAGCCGCTAGGCTACCTGCCACCCAAATATTATTTAGGTTGGAGAAGACAGAGCAGTTCAGTGCTATGAAAATGTAGGGAAAACACTGCAGTCTCAAGGGATGTGATGTGGTCTTGCTCTTCAGTTGTTCTGTGGGTGTCACCGAGTAGACAATCCATAGGTTAAGGCTGTACATTGCAATATGAATGTCAATAAGCACAATAGGCTGGATAGTGAGGTTATTTCCCACAGTCAAAGTAAGAGCTACAAAGCTAATATATGTGTAAACTCTTTACAGTTGTGTTCTGTGGGTGTCACTGAGTAGACTGATACAACATTTCATTCATCCACAATCCATAGGTAAGGCTGTACAGTGAAATAGAAGTATGACAGAATTGAAATTCTGCAGTCTAATACATCCACAGTGCGATTGCAACTAACTAATTAGTATTTTATTATATATTTAACAAAATTCCAACCTTGTTTAGCATTATCTAGTCCAAATATGGCATGATTTCAAATATTTGCATAACTTTCAGTAACCAGGTTTCCATCCAACCTTTTTATGCGAGTAAAGTACATGTTGGATAAAAAAATGTAATCACAGGCCAGATGGAAACTGAACATTTTTCGGTGAACTTTCCAAATGTCAACAAAACAAAATACACTAGACAAGGTTGGATGTTTTTGTGTCGGTAGTTATGAGAGAAATGTCGGTGGAAATGCTTTTATGTGCAAATATTGATATAATAACCATCCTATCGAAGTAAATTTGGAGTCACGCGATGACATGTTTTGTGGTCCTACCACTACGACTCTTCCGGAAAGCATGCAGTTTATTAGGCTGCAGACGAAATAAATGATGAACTTCACAGGAGCTTGATGCTCCTTAACAATAAATATTGAGGGTCTTATTCTGGTGACATGATAATCGATACTTGGCTGCCGTTTGACAAATAAAATTAATCTCGCTCTTCAATCCATAATAATAATCTCATTATGTAGGCTATTCGTGAGCGCTAACCAACAGCTCGCAGATAGCACTGTTTGCTAGAGCGCACTTGCCAGTGGGGAAAAAAACATCAGTAGAGTTAAATGTGATAGAAACCACTTCAACTTGGATTTTTTATTCGGTACATGGGGGATTTAACCGCAAAATGAATTTTTATGTGCACCACGTCATCACGCACAGCCTTTTATCTGCAACATATCAATTTGATGGAAACATCTCTGGTGGGAAAATGTGCAGATTTTTGAATATTCGCATGAAAATCTGTTGCCTTTAGACGGAAACATAGCTAATGAGGATCTTTTATTTTGAAGGCGAAACCCCGATTCCAGTATTGTTGCTCACGCTAATGTTGTTAACCATACATATGTTTTACCCAAGGGCAATAACACCGTAACGGAACTACGCTTTGACTCAGATTTTTCACTTTAAAATGTATGCCAAACAAAAAAACATTGATTTCAAATTTTAACAAACCATACAACTCTATGCACAAGGACTACTTTGAACAATTTACACAGAAAATTTTACAAAAACATTTACTGGAAGAACTGAAAATCTCCCTCCGTTTTGTATGCGACCACGTTTAACAAAAACGAAAATATCAATTCCGAATGAAGATTAAAAAGATAACAGGGTTGGCTGGATGTATTGGCCATTGTCAAACAATGGAAGATTGTCATCTAGAAATAGACTAGGCTCATTCATGGGCAAACAAACGTAGTAGTAGCATATCAGCACACTTTGCACAATACAATCTGCATTGAAGCTGACCCTCAAATGGCATTTGATAATTGCTGAGGTTATCACAATAATGGTCTTTACAGCTGCGAGAACGAGCGCTTCTCTCGAGGAGAGTGTACTCGAGTCTGCAAGTGAAAATTCCGCCACCGGACAAGGCCAGATGCGGTTACATTGTAACAAAAGTGGCAGATTCTCTGAAACACTTACCCGCGAGATAGTCAAGGGTTGTTCAAAATCCTTCCCACCAACTAGACGGAATCCCCAAGGTCCAGGACCTTGCACGACAACTCGTAGAGGCATAGCCTACTTCCAAACTGGCCGAATCCGACTTAAAAAATAACAATTCTTAGACAGCCTGTCCAACTAGATTAGACATGTGATCAAAATGAACAAACTTCGACGAGGCTACTTTGTAGCTAGAAGTAAAGGCCGCGGTTACTGTGGCAAAGCTGAGCGAATCGTTTTGGAAGTTTCCACGCTGATAAGAGCGATCTACTATGTTGTTCAAGGATGCACCGTAACGTCGTCACTCTATATGCAAGTTTACCATTTATGGTAGAGCCATAATCCAGGATGCGGAATGAGCCATAACCCAGGATGCGGAATGTGCCATAACCCAGGATGCGGAATGTGCCACTCCCAAAACTTGAATTCCTGCCATTCACTCCACTGAGTAGGCTACTGCGGACAAACTGAAACATGTCCCCGTGAGTGTAGGCCTATTCTAGACTTTTGCATTGTAAGTCATCAACAATGTCAGAACATCATTATATAGTCCAGGCAATATGTGCCAAACTTAAGGTGATATGTTAACTTTTTTTATAAAAGCATGCAACTTGGTACACTTGCTGCTTTTCGACTGTAGTGCTACACTGGTGTATACACCCTTATGTTATATTAGAGGATGGCTCTAATGGTAATGACTGGAACTGAGTGAATGGAATGGCAAATGGAAGGGCATCAAACACATGGAAACCATGGATACCATTCCACCTATTCCGCTCCAGCCATTACCATGAGCCCCTCCTCCCCAATTAAGGTGCCACCAACCTCCTGTGGTTTCCATAGGGGTAGAGGGGAGGCCAAATGTAAGATCAGAGCCATTTTGATAGATGTGTGGCAGAAGAGATGGGACTGTGCACAAGGGCCGGCATTTATATGCCCTCCAAGGAAAGGTCGGTGGACCAAGATTCAAAGGTCAGATTAGGAAGGAAGAGGTGGTGTTTGCTCGATTGCGCTTAGGACATTGTACTCGTCATTACATCTGGTTGGCAAGCATGTGAATGGTTTGTCTCTGGAGTGTATGGTCGATGAAACAGTGGAGCATGTGTTTTTTATTTTATTTATTTCACCTTTATTTAACCAGGTAAGCCAGTTGAGAACAAGTTCTCATTTACAACTGCGACCTGGCCAAGATAAAGCAAAGCAGTGCGATAAAAACAACAACACAGAGTTACATATGGGGAAACAAAACATACAAACAGAAAATATATATATACAGTGTGTGCGAATGTAGTAAGTTATGGAGGTAAGGCAATAAATAGGCCATAGTGCAAAATAGTTACAATTTCGTATTAACACTGGAATGATAGATGTGCAAAAGATGATGTGCAAATAGAGATACTGGGGTGCAAATTAGCAAAAATAAATAACAATATGGGGATGAGGTAGTTGGGTGGGCTAATTTCAGAATGGCTGTGTACAGGTGCAGTGATCGGTAAGCTGCTCTGACAACTGACGCTTAAATTTAGTGAGGGAGATAAGAGTCTCCAGCTTCATAGATTTTTGCAGTTCGTTCCAGTCATTGGCAGCAGAGAACTGGAAGGAATGGCGGCCAAAGGAGGTGTTGGCTTTGGGGATGACCAGTGAGATATACCTGCTGGAGCGCAGACTACGGGTGGGTGTTGCTATGGTGACCAATGAGCTAAGGTAAGACGGGGATTTGCCTAGCAGTGATTTATAGATGACCTGGAGCCAGTGGGTTTGGCGACGAATATGTAGTGAGGGCCAGCCAACAAGAGCGTACAGGTCACAATGGTGGGTAGTATATGGGGCTTTGGTGACAAAACGGATGGCACTGTGATAGACTACATCCAATTTGCTGAGTAGAGTGTTGGAGGCTATTTTGTAAATGACATCGCCGAAGTCAAGGATCGGTAGGATAGTCAGTTTTACGAGGGCATGTTTGGCAGCATGAGTGAAGGAGGCTTTGTTGTGAAATAGGAAGCCGATTCTAGATCTAACTTTTGATTGGAGATGCTTAATGTGAGTCTGGAAGGAGAGTTTACAGTCTAACCAGACACCTAGGTATGCAGAGCTGGTGGCCGGGGTAGTGGTAGCCAGGTGGAAAGCATGGCCAGCTGTAGCAAAATGCTTGTTGAAATTCTCGATTATTGTAGATTTATCGGTGGTGACAGTGTTTCCTAGCCTCAGTGCAGTGGGCAGTTGGGAGGAGGTGCTCTTATTTTCCATGGATTTTACAGTGTCCCAAAATTTTTTGGAGTTAGTGCTACAGGATGCACATTTCTGTTTGAAAAAGCTAGCCTTTGCTTTCCTAACTGATTGTGTTTATTGGTTGCTGAAAAGTTGCATATCGCGGGGGCTGTTCGATGCTAATGCAGTACGCCACAGGGTGTTTTAGTGCTGGTCAAGGGCAGTCAAGTCTGAGGAGAACCTGGGGCTATATCTGTTCTTAGTTCTGAATTTTTTGAATGGGGCATGCTTATTTAAGATTGAGAGGAAAGCACTTTTAAAGAACAACCAGGCATCCTCTACTGACGGAATGAGGTCAATATCAATCCAGGATACGCAGGCCAGATCAATTAGAAAGGCCTGCTCGCTAAAGTGTTTTAGGGGGGGTTGGAAGGGATTTTGGGGATGGGGGAGAGTCTATTAGAAGTTAGTAGTTTTCTCAGAAGTAGTGAGTTAGGTAGGAGGATTTAGAAATGTTGTACTCCAGCACAGTAGGTGGCAGCATGCACCTTTAACGTTGGTTTGCGGACCGTTATTATATCATAGAAGAAGAAGAAGAAGAAGAAGAAGTTTCCATAGCTAGGGCTGATAGTGAGGACTTGTGAAGACCAGAATCAACAATCGCTGCATGATCAAAACAGTTGTTTTGTCACTAGGTGTTAAAGTTCACAGTTAGCAATTGTTATGTACAGTAAATGTCAGCTGAAAAGTACCAGTGGCCTGGCTTTGGCCCCAAGTGAGAGCGACCAATATGTGCCCTTCTTTGCGAACCATAGGAAAATCTCCCTGGTCTTTGTGGTTGAATCTGTGCTTGAAATTCACTGCTCGACTTAGGGACCTTACAGATAATTGTATGTGTGAGGTACAGAGATGGGGTAATCATTTAAAAATCATGTTAAACACAATTATTGCACACAGAGTGAGTCCATGCAACTTATTATGTGACTTGTTAAGCACAGCTTTACTCCTAACTTATTTAGGCTTGCCATAACAAAATTATTGAATACTTATTGACAGAAGACATTTCAGCTTTTCATTTTGTCTTAATTTGTAAACATTTCTAAAAACATAATTCCACTTTAACATTATGGGGTATTGTGTGTAGATCAGTGACACAAAATCTAAATGTAATACATTTTAAATTCAGGCTGTAACACAACAAAATGTGGAAAAAGTCAAGGGGTGGGAATTCTTTCTGAAGGCACTGTATGTACCTCAACCCACCACACCTCAAATTATATTTCAGAAGAGAACATTTCCATTTTGGAGCACTTAACAATTCTCCTATATGCACGCACAACATCAGAAACGACTCCAGGCGGCCCTTTTGCTATTACGCCATAAACGGACAATGTATTTTCTGGTATATCTGCTGAACCAAACATGATAACACAGAAAATATGATGTCTACCCCTATGTTCTGATGGCCAATTATTAAAATGGTACCACGTACAACACCATAAGCAGTTCAGATTTTTATATAATGGTGGACTGCCATGGTAAACCATGCTAAGAAATCCAATGAAATCGCAGTTTCTGACAACGTATGCAATATAATTGGATCACAGAGTTTTCAAACCCAGAGTTCCAAGTGGCCAATACTACCGGGAATGTCTCGCGAAGCAGACTCAACAGACCAGCCGGGGTTTGGGGAGTCAATGGGAGAAGTGAAAATGTCTTCCTTAAGCGAAAAACTCACCAAGCAAAGCGAGGCGGGTGGAAAGGACGGGACAGGCAGAGCAGTGACTGTATGCTAGCAGGATAGTTCATATCTCCAATCATCTTCGCTTAAAGCGATGTTGTTTCCATAAGTCGATGACTTGGTCTAATTTAACCCTTATCAACCTCTTCCAATTCAAATGAGCTAAATAAAAATTGAATAATGACTACATTGTTATTGTTTTGTGTGACTACTACAGCACCAGCAATAAAATGCAAAAATAGAGACACGTTTTAATCGAGCGAGGCGTCAAAGTGTACAATCCGCCTTCCCGGCTTTGGTTGGGTCATTATAATTCAAAACAATGCATTCTAAAATAAATCACACACACTCCTCGCACGCTCGCCTTTGGTGAGTTTAGGTCATTAGTTGTTACTTTTCTCGCAATCTAAAGGCACAACCTAGATTCAAGCCAATGTCGGAAGTAGCTGAACATGTCATTACTACAACCTCGTGAAAGTGACAAACTGACACGCTTTCATTTAAGTCAAAAACAACTTTATATCAAAGGAGTGCCTTTGATATGACGGCCTGCACATGCGCAATCCGACAGGACAGGACTGTTACGCCTGGATCACACCGACAGAGACGGCATTTTGGTACACCAGAAGTACATTAATTTTCAATTGAATGCTGCGTTTGCCTTGCAGCATTGCGTTGCAGAGGCAGTTGCGTTGCAGAGGCAGTTGCAGTGCGTTCTGTGTGGTGCATACGTTGGATTTATCGAACGTATGCATCAAACTGTATGCGCAGACGGCTTGACAGAAATGGTAGCAGAAGGTGAATGTTGAATTTTTGTTGCACACATAACCAGATGATGCTGCGTACTATTTTGCGCAAAAACACTACTGGTGTGATCGTGAGACCTACTTAACGTCACTATGACATCGCCTACAAGTGAGATCAGGGATTTCTATTGGAGAAGCAGTTTCTGGACCTCGTCATGTATATTCTCTATGGCAGTATACTCTCTAAATGGGTCCCTGTGTAGTCTGGAGTGAGACACGGATCACTTTCCTATAATATGCAATTTAGCAGACGCTTTTATCCAAAGTGACTTACAGTCATGTGTGCATACATTTTTACGTATGGGTGGTCCCGGGGATCG